AGGGACTGGCCCAAGGTCACCCAGCTGGCTTTGTGCCTAAGGTGAGACTAGAACTCACAGTCTCCTGGTTTCTAGCCTGCTGCCTTAACCACTACACCAAACTGACTCTCAATGGTGGTGGCTACAGTTCATGAATTCTGACCATAGGTAGAAACTACAGCATTAACATGTTCTACCATGCCGCTATTCTGCATGTGGCAGTCTGCATTTTTCTTCCAATATATGAAACAGTCATGAAAGGAACAAACTGTAAAGAACATGGCAAACATTAGACCATGCATCCTTTTGCTCCTTAGCAAAAATATGCAAAGGGCAAGAATACTGCTACTATATGTAATATTAACACTTGCTTTCCTTAGTGTAACTGCTGTACAAGCCCATCTTTAGCATCATGGGACTGAGAAATGAGGATGCCTTTCAGAAGAGAGGACTGGGAAAAATAATAGCCTCTGGAAATAGCAGACTGGTAATGCTGGTGTCTGAACTATGTCCCAATCTAGCCTATGCAAAGTCAGGAAATATATTCAGTTACCGTTTAATAGGTCCTTTGACAGACCCCTTGCCCCAAGTCTTAGAGCTGCAGATCAAGTGTCCCAAATATGACACTGCAGACAACTCAGATGCATTTAAGGAGACAAACATGCTAGATAGCAAACCACATACAGCTGGGCAAGATCCAGCAAGCCAGGATTACAGAGATTTTAGTTAGGTATCTTTAATGCTAGTCTGGGGTAAATACAGAATCTCGGAACCTGTCAGAGGCATTTCCCACCTTCATTTATAGTGAGTTAATTAAAGTTGAGTTTCTTTAAATCAGTGTTTTTCAACCTTGGCAACTTTAAGATGGGTGGACTTCAACTCCCAGAATTCCCCAGTCAACATTTTAAAGTTACCAAGGTTGAAAAACATTACTTTGAATGATCTGAAATGCTTTTTCCCAGGTTTCCTGCTTCCTGGACTAAGTTGACATATATCAGAGTAACTCAATCTTAGCAACTTTAAGTTGTCTGGACTTCAACTCCTGGAATTCTGAGAGTTGAAGTCCACACATCTTAAAGTTGCCAAGGTTGAGAAACACTGCCATATATAAGCTATCAACTGACTCTCCCACTATCTCTTCATTGTTTATGTCTGCTCTCTCTTCCATTCCTTTCCCAGCTACCTTACAATCTCTCACATTATCTCCATTGTGTTTAAATGAGAGCTTAGCAGCTTCTCCCTAAGGAATTGAAATTTTCACCCTGAAGATTGTTCAGATATGCCCATGGACATCCACAGAAGCCTCCTGCTCTCATCAAAATGACAAAAGCACTCTCATGTCATCAGTTCAGTCCATTTCATAATGTATATCCAAAGAGGGTGGGGCTTGTCCCATGAGAAGTATGATGCTAATTTGTGGTTCTGCCCCCCAACCCTCCTCTGCATGCATTGTTGGATACAACTGCATGCAGCAAAGTTATCAGTGGGCATACAGACTCATATCTAAAACCTAAATTACTAAGGGCTATATGCAAAGAAATGGTCTTTGAATGGTATCTCCCTACTCCCTTGATCAAGAAGAATCAGCAAGGTGACCCCAAGAGACAACCTTGCCTTCATAAAAATAATTTTAAAAGATTAATACAAGAACACTGAAATCTCATAAGATTTTGAGAATGGGGAGACACACAGACCAGTGTGTGAAGCCCTGTTTCCAGGGGAGAGGAAAGATTGCCAACTACTGACAGAATTGTTTCTGAACCACATACTTATAACAACTGTAGTTTGGAATTAGTTGACACTGAACTGGAATCAGTTCAAATTTTATCTGCTGACAACAATAATGGAGAAATTTGATTTACTATTGATAATCCCCGAATATCCAAACTCAGTAAATGAGTTCTGAAACCTTACAATCAAAAGCTTATCTCTCATTTTCCAAGCTAATGTCTTTATCTATAGGAAATACATTGTTTAAAACAGTTAAAGATAATCAAAATTACAAAAATTAGCTTCATATATGTAACAGACTATCTGTTGTACATTCAAATTCTATCTGATCAAGCAAATTGTTTTTTTTTTTAAAGAAATGTGGTCCAATGTCACATTTATGCAGACTTTACAGAGATAACAACCACCACCACCCAAAAACAATAGTAGTGCTGGTCCATGATTAAAAAAAAAATCTTATATCCTTAGTAAAACAATACCCTTTATTAGGGCAAACCAAAATAGCACATAAATGTGTGGAAACTTTTGAGTTGTTCAAAATTCAGCAGGCAACATGTTACAAAACGGTGTTAAAGACAATTTATATATATGAATGTCAAATTATATTCAAGATTGAAAGGCAGCAGCTTGACTAAATATTCAATTACTGTCCTAAATCTCTCAACAGTGATTTATCCCCTTCCTCTCCCTTCCCACCCCTGCAACACTGTGCAAGCAAAAACCCTGAAGGGCTTGAGGGTGGTCTCTAGATATTAAGCATCCTATAACGTAAAAGAAACAGACATTACATTCTAATGCTGTACAAAGGTAGCTGATTTAAACTAATTTTGATTCCAATTTCTCTTCCTATTTCAGTGTATAGCCTATTATAATATATTACCAATGGCTCAAATATACAAGCTGAGGATTTTAAAATAATTGGTTCACAGAAAAGGCATTAATACTCAAGCCCAATATAACTGTCTGCACTGAAGTGCCTGAAGTGAGTCTTGAGCACCCACAACTATTTAATGCCTTTTCTTTTTTAGCAGCCCAGCAAGACTGCAATCTTTCTCCATAAGACTGTAATTCAAACACATCAAAAATTTGACAGGGGAGGAAGCAGAGTCTTCAGCAGAGGACTACAAAACATTTTAAGTGTGAAACTGATGTTTGACCATTCTGGAAACATTTCAAGCTTTAAACCTGTTTGAGATTTGAACTCAAGAAACACTCCTCTAGCTTTAATATCCTTCTGACCACTTAACCTGCAGGAATTTCAGGATTCAGTACAAGATATGACCTTGCCCAAATAGACAGTATGGAAGATCTAAGACCAAAAGGCCAGAGAAGGACAGGGGTAGACTCAGGTCTAGTCTCAGCTTTGGCTGAGAAAGTCCAAGTCCTAGAGGTACTTGAACATTTTTCAGCAATCTTCAGAGAACAGGGATGCCATGTTATCCTATTAGGATCTATCAGATGCTTCACCCCCTACAAACTCTGTATAATTTATTGTTGTGTAACACAGCAACTGATGTTAGTTTAATCCCTAGGATGAAGAACATGTGGATTAACAGATGTTCCTGCATAATGATTTGTATCATCCTTAACCATTGGAAATTGCAGTTGAGGCTTACGGAGATGAACTATAACATCTGAAAGGTCACCAGTTCATACTCAATTTTAAAACATAAGTAGCACTACTAAAAAGATCTTAAGGCAATTTAAGTTTTCTTCAATATACTTCAGAATATAAAATCTTTCCCTTTATTATTTCACCAGTTTGACATAAAGCATATGAAGTGGTAAATTACACATTTGCCCTTTTTTTGTTTAAAGTTTTTGGTAACTGATGGAACAAGTGAGCAGTGTCTCTTTACAATACTATTTTACTTTTTCTTGAAGTGCAAAGAATGTTTGTGTGCTTATTCACAAGATACAATGCATCTCTCATGTCCAATATTAACACAAAATGGAGTCATTTCATGACCTCAAATTATTCATGAAACACAATTTTTCCTAACTTGATGCTCCTCAGAGATCCTAGGACTACTAGGTCAGAATTCCAAGCCAGCATGGACAAACTGATATTTGTTCATCTTCTCAACCATTTGAGCTATGACCAGACTCCTGAGCTTTCCTTGAGTCTGAAGATGAGTGGACAAAGAGCAATCCTGACCCCTTGGTACTGCCAGGCTGGGAAACACTGAGATGTGGATGACCAAGTTGGAGTGGAAGAGTTTCAGGAGTGTCGTTTTTAGGAGTTCCCCTATTACATACACACAAAAAAACATTCTACATTGAGACACACAATCCAAAAGGCAAACAATGGAATGAACAAATATGAAAATACACACCTTTTAAACAATATATGGGATGCAATGAATAATGTATACAGGGCACATGCTTTGTATGTATGACACGCAAACTCCACATGTTCAATTAAAGATCTTGTGTAACAGGGAGGGAAACCAGCTCTAAACCTCATATGGGGCACGTGCCACTGCTCAAAATGAATAAAGTGGACTATATGGAGTCACAATTGCCTTTGAAATTGCTCAATGAGCAGCCAATTCTAGTCAGAGTATTCCAATGAATCCAGGGCCCTGAAGGTAACAACTAGGACAGTGCAGGAAAAACAGTGTCTACCACTTTCTGATAAGTCCTTTGGTTTGTTCTAGGAATTACTTTACATCAGCCTCTTTCCCAGGCTCTGGCAGTGGTGGATGGCTGGAAGGGATTTTGGGCATATGAATCCTCATATCAAATGGCACATTTTTCCTATGTTCCTTTCCAAGCATTTTCCACTTTGCAGTTTTCAAACCTTGAAACAGCCAAGAATCAGAAGGAAGACTCTGACTTTAGAACCCTCCAATGAAGTTGGAGGCCTCTCTTCAAACTCAAAAAGAAAAATCCAGTTAATCAGATATAGGGTTGCAGCCTCAGTAACCAGGTATATACTTCTAATGGTGTAGCCCCATAATTTCCAGATACTTGATAAAGACTAAGACCAGAAAGTCCTTGGTTATGATTATGTTTACTAGAAATAGGTTTTGCTGTAATGTGATTAGGCAGATTCAGGGAGAGCAGGCTAGTTGATAAGACATAATATGCGTATTATTGAAAACAGAATTTAACACATCTTGTTATGATTTCATTATTTATCATTTTAACATGCAATACATTACGGTACTTATACTATGCTATGTATCCTTACTGTGGAAGAAATCTCATCGTACAGATGTGTAACTGACCAGAGGATCTTGTAGACCAGTTTTTCTCAACCTTGGCAACTTGAAGATGTGTGGACTTCAATTCCCAGAATTCCCCAGCCAGCAAGGCTGGGCAGGGGAATTTCGGTGTTGTAGTCCACACATCTTCCAATTTTCAAGGGTGAGAAAAACCACTGTAGACAGCTAAAACATTCTCACACTCATATTAAAGTCTCTTCTCTAGTAATGTTTCTAACTAGGCCTCTGTTTTTCCATTGAATCGAGATATCTCATTTTTCATGTCTTCCATAGTGGTTATTCCTATCTCAAATATTACCCTGCACCTCTAAGCTCCA